GACTTCGGTAGAAGGAACAGTAAATGGTTCACACAGTAAATGGGCCCTGAACCATTTACTGTTCCTTCTAGTTGGTTCACAGCAAGGACTTCAAGTTGAAATGCATTGACTTCCCGCTGACTTCGATGGTTCGGAGTAGGACGGGCTAATTGGCTGAAACCGGCTGATATCTTTGTGCTTTGGGATGATGTAAGCCCGCCCATCCGCACTTCCCCTGCTTGTCCCACCGCCCCAGCACTTCCGATCCCGTCTCCTTATATCTTGTTTCACACTTTTTCGCCAACACCTCCGCTTCGGTTTCCCAAACCGCCGGAAAACTACTATTTCCCCCAAAACATTTCCCTCATTCCTCTAGCATACACCTCCGGGCACACGATGACAGTTTCCGTTGGGATTTCTGTCCACGGCTGAGAGCATACCATCCCAGTGCACAGCTGCTTACACCTCGCCACCTCGTTCTTACGATCCACCCGTTGGTCCCGACACTCATTCAGGCATTTCTCGGCATCCATCAGTCTCCGAATTTTAATGAACTATCGATAATCTCCTGCATCACCATCCGCTTTCTGGGTATCTCGCCGTTGCGCACAGCATTCTGGGCGTTCCGGGCAAACCCCGACACGCACTCCCGATCGCTCAACCTGCATTTTGCATGACCCTCTTGTCGTGGGAGGGCACTGTCTGCACAAAACTGCAGACCCCCACCTTCTGCTGTGCAGCAGCACGGTGGTTACGGAGAATCTCACTGATGCTGGGATTCTTCTTCTTCCAGGTCGTCCTGAGTCTCCGACATGTGTAAGCGGCTAGCGCATCCGGAAACCCTACCGTGATTCTATCCAACACCAGCTCGCATTGACACATTCTGATGATACATAATACAAACACAGAAGCTTCTCCGCCGAATCTCCGGATATTAAACCCAAAATGTTTCCCTCTCACACCAGCCAGAGTGTCCCGAAGTGCAGTCCGACTCTCCGAGTACCTTGTTTCGAGAACAGGAGGTTAATCCCATCCACCAGCTGTATTAGTCTCCTGATCCCAAGCCTATAGAGCTTCTTATTATACCAGGGATTTTTAATCACCTGGTGCAGCTCCCGTTTGCCGTTTGATGTCTGCTTTCTCGACGGACAATCTCCTTAACTGCAGTGTAATCACCTCAAAGCTTTCCCCCGTCTCAAACTCTTTCGTCAACTCCAATAGTGCATTCACACAGCCCTCCGAATTTGATCTTACTATTGCCCAGTTCCTTCTTGATTATTCCCCATTTCTGTCCCTGTACCGTACCCCCTTCCGATCTAAAAAGCGGATCCCCTTCCCATGCCGTCCTGCAAACCACCCTCAGCCCTATGGATCGTAACGTCAAGCACATATTTGTTTGGCTCTAATGGCTCTAGCCAAAGGTTCCATGGCATCTTGACAGCTACGTCCGGGCCTAAATCCATAAGAGTGAGGTTCAAAACGGGCTACACCCCTTTCGGGTTCTAGAACCGTTTTAGCGTGCTAAACACCACAGGACATTGTTTGAAGTTTTTTTGAGAGCATCCCTTTTTATTTTTCACATGCACTGCTGACATTCCTCGTGCCTCTCTGTTCATTCAGGTTAATCTTTTGACTCGTTTCGCATGTCCTGGAAACGCTTCCCCTTTCTTTTTCCCCCTTGCCTTCATCCCATCCCTTTTCCCCTTTTTCCCACTCCCTTTCCCCCTTTTTCCCACTCCCTTTCCCGCTTTTTAGCAACCCCTTCCTACCCCCTTTCCCCCATTTTCCACCATCTCCCACCCCTTCTCCCACTGCACCCCCCTTCTCCCCGGCCACTTTTGTTTTTCTCACTGTATAATTGTATTGTATCAACAGCTGCAAACCAGGTCCAGTGTCACTTACGGCGAGGATCTTCATAGCACGCTTCTCTCCGTTATGGCTGAGCGGAGAGAACCTGAGACAACGGCATTGATTGCTTTCCCTATCAGATATCAGAAGGATTTACCACTGCTCTGACATCATCCCGAAAGCCACAGTGTGATGTACTTTGGCACATGTTTTGGCATTTCTCTCTTCTTTGTACTGCTGACACTTCCCTTGCGTGCCTTTTGGATTGTGCGTCTGTTTTGTATGTGTTCTGGAAAAAAAAAAAAAACTTGGCGGCTCCGGCTCAAATGCTTTTGCATTGCAAATGCATTTGTTTGTCATTTGCTTGTGCGAAGCCAGCAATTGCAGTGGCGATCAGGGAGCAACTTTACGAGGTGCGAGTCCCGTCCAATTGATGAGAGCTCAAATTTAATTGGAGCACGTCCCGTTCAATTAATGAACTCAAATTTAATTGGAGCACCAGAGAAGGCCTGGCATTGCGATTTGTCTAATCTACACAATCGATTGATTGATTGATTGGTTGGTTGGTTGATTGATTAGTTGATTGATTGATTGATTGGTTGGTTGATTGATTAGTTGATTGATTGATTGATTGATTGATTGATTGATTGATTGATTGGGTGGATGGATGGGTGGATGGATGGATGGATGGAGGCGACTATTCTTGAAACTTGATAGCCATCTTAACTTTTGTGATGTCAATGGATTTATTTATTTATTTATTTATTTATTTTGCAAGCTAAAAGTAGATGTGATTGTACCAGCAGACGCCATGTAAGGATACCCACAGACGCGAGTGAAGGTGTACCTGCAGACCCCATGTCAGAGTACCCGCAGGCTCGAGTGAAGGTGTACCTGGAAACCCCATGTGGAGGGGTACTGGCTGACCTGCGTAAAGGTGTATTCACAACCCCCATGTAAGAATACCCGGGGGCTCAAGTAAAGGTGTACCCGCCGACCCCATGTTAGAGAACCCGCAGACTCGAGTGAAGGTGTACCCAACCAACCACATACCTCATGTAAGAATAGGTACAGAGTCGAGTGAAGGTATACATGCAGCACAGAGCCCATGTAAGAGTACCCGCGGGCTCAAGTGAAGGCATACGAGAAGACCCCATGTAAGAACACCTGCAGATTCGAGAGAAGTTGTACCGTGCAAGAATGCACGCAGACAAGTGGTGTACCTTCCTGGTAGCTGAATGCTGCGATTCTTGATAAATACACTAGAATAAATACAATCACTAGAAGGTCGTGGGTTTAAATCCCCAATGACCCGTACATAAATATTAAATACACTAGAATTTAGAAGTCCAAATCCTGTCAAATACAATAATGTCAAGGAGCGGCCTAGCTCAGTTGGCTAGGCACGCATGTGGCATTCAGGAGGTCGTGGGTTCAATCCCACTGACCGCCTAGGGCACACTTGGTGCCCCAACCAGCTGAGATAGCCGGCTTGCTCCCCCTAGTCGGTATTAGAAGGGCCTTTAGCCAACACAGGTGCGAGTGTGTGTGCGGGTGTGTGTGAGTGTGTGTGTGAGTGTGTGTGTGAGTGGGTTGTGTGTGGTATGTGGGAGAGTGTTGGCCTTAGACACTGCTGATACTTGATGGCGTGAGAGAGGGAGAAAAGGGAGGTGTACCTACTGGCAAAAGGATCGGTCTTTGTGTTAGCCGGGCGCCCACCAGTGGCCCCACCCTACTCCCTATCTACTGCTGTTAGGGCAGGGGCCATCATGCAACCCCTTCATTGACAAGTAGCCATGCTTGCAGAGGTCCCCTGTATATAGCCTGAGGAGTAGTGGTAGCACTGGTACGTAGACAGTGAAAGGTGAATTTGAGAGAAGAATACACCTGAATTATCCTTAGTATAATAATAATAGTTACGTTAAGGGGGGTGAGTGGACAATCAATAACACGGCTGGAGTCTTTTTAATTAACTGCTCATTGCTCAGGAAAAGGATTCACAATTTCACAGAGCCTGGTCTTCTTAATTAACTGCTCGGGGGGGGGTTGGGACTGTGGGGGGATAACAAACTAACCACCACCAGAGCAAAGGAAAAGGATTCGCACAGAACCTGGTCTTTTTTATTAGCGGTTCAGACTTTGTATGCTTTTGTTTTTCTAATCTCGATGTCACTCAAGATCACTATTGAAGTTCTTTTGTGTTTTGGAGTGGGTTCAAGTAATTATGTATTCGCGGAATTTTGCGCGCGTCATTTTTGCCAATCTGGTAAAAAGTCGGCGGCCTTGGAATACCATCATTGAACGGAGCGGCTCAACGTTATTCACAATTATTTTATCCTTTCCATCAGATTGCATCTGGTTTCGAACTTGCGTGTTTTCTTTTTTCCAGGGTTCAAGGGTGTACCTACTGAGCTAAGCTGGTGAGGCCAGTCGGTAGGCACTCTTCCTTCTTCTTTCGCACGTTTTCCTATTTTATAATTTGTACACAGTGATTTAGTAGATTTGCCATCTCCAACTATTGTCTTACCCCGGATAGAACTTACGGTCATTATGCCTGTATTTGGGGCAAGTATCAGGCTCTACAGCGATAATTTACCGTACGACGTACGTTCTATTCGGGGGAAGGAGAAGATGGTATCCTTTTTCAGAACTGGAAAATTCTCTGCATGTGGTTTGATAGGCTCTGTGCAGGAAATCCGCCCTTTTACAAAACTTTGAAGTTTGAACTTTGAAGTGAATCTAGCGCAGTGGGAGCAAAGGCTGGGGGGGAATGAGAGCCCAACACCCAGATTGACTTTCTTGCTGGCATAATGCTGCTACTTCCCGTCTGCAAACCCTGATCTGCTTTGTTTAACCAAAACTTTGACGCCATCCTCCTCTGCAGACGAGGTCCCTCTGTATGGTTTGTAACTTTGTAGTACTTTGTAGTACGTCGTAGTACTTTGTAGTACTTTGTAGTACCTTGTGCATAAAATGATTTAAAATTTAAAATCATACTAAAAATTCTGAAATTTAAAATGCTTTTCTTGCTAGGGTTGGTAAAGAATTTGGATGTGACCCGGAGGCAAAAGTTCTTCAGTTTATTTTTACTCATAACATAATTGTTTTTTTGAAAATTTTTCAGAATTTATGGATGTTTTGTTTGTTGTTGTTTTTTTGGCTGGGACCTTCTATGGTCCTTGCACGGCCGGGCAGCCCAGGCAACCAAGGTGACCCCGGCTGCCTGGCTGGTAGCCTAGCTTTCTTGCAGGTTTTCGGACATTTTCGAATATTTTTAGTGATGGGAATATTTGGGGTGCTCCGGAAATTGACTTCCCCATTCGATTACTGCCGTTGCACTCGTTTTTTTTTTTGTTTTTTTTTTCCTCACTGTTTCACGATTCCCTCCTGTTGCTGTCGTGTGTGTAGCTGATCAAGCAAAGCGTTGCGGGTAGAGAGAGTCGCATGACTAAAAAGATCAGACGGGAACGAGGGTTGGATCTTTATGGCCAAGGAGGGTGAGTAGTCCTGAAAACCTTGTTTTTTTTTTGTTTTTTTTTTACTGAAAACCTTTCTTTCTACATTTTCCGGATTTTTTTTTTTTTTTTTTTTTTTTTTTTTAAACAGGGCCTTATGGTCCTGGCTCCTTCTATTCTGGGGAGCGTCAGTCCGGTTCCTATTCCACCGGCAAGTCAAGATGCACATTACATTGAAACTTAACCACGCTTCCTTCCGTTTGGCCGAAGGACCCCTGACAGCATTGATTGCTCCACCTTGGTGGAGGATTGACTGTCAGCTTGCCGTACCCCTCTCTTTCCTCTCAGATCTGGAGTACAGATCTGCCATATAATACTATGTCCCCTAGAAAGAGTTCAGCCTTATAATACGATGTCCCCTAGAAAGAGTTCAGCCTTTGTCCCTGTCGGCCTGTGTCCTCCCCACTCATCTGCCCTGCCTGTGGTGCATGATCTCCCCCTTTTTTGAAAACCTGTTCTAAACCCTAAACCCTAAACCTCCAGCCTGCGAACCTGTATTCCAGCCTCTCTTTGAGTCTGTCCTTACACCTTGCTCTTGTCCTTTGGTACCGTCCGTCTATCTCTGTGTTATCCATCCCAGKCTGTGGCAATTTATGCTTGTCTATKTTGTCTKTTCCTCRMCYTTAAAACCTCCTCATTCAGCCTGTGTGTCTATTCTCCATCGTTCCCTYGAGTCAACCCTGTTCACRTGTCCCCTGTTTCCTTTGTCCTTGTCCTGATCCAGGACTGCTTTGCTCGTTGTTGGAAGCCTTGCTTGTTTCTGATTGGTGCCGATCCTTCTTAGGTCCACCAGACTTGTCCAACTCTTTCTCTTTGCCGTTTAGTGCCCCTTTCGTAACAGGTCTCTTCTTGCTGTATCGTGTCTGCTTCCCCAGCCCGTAGTTCTGCAGTGAGTTCTCGCTCCCGTATTGTTCCTCCCCTTCCACTTTCCTGAGTCTGTTCTGGGCTGCTGCTCAGTCCTCCCCCTCGATACATCCTTTTCGCCTTCTCCGTTCCCCCTTTGTTGGCCTTCCKTGTCCTGTTTACACTGATGTTCCTCCTCTTCCATCTTAGTTTGTTTGGAAAGCCCCCTTCTGCATGAAGTCCCTGCTGATCAGCTGTTCCTGTTTCTGTCTGCTCTTTGTGCTAGAGCYCTTCTTCTGCTGTATCGTTGCCTTTCTCCTTCCCTCTGTTCCTCCGAGACRTTTTYCTTATTGAGAAGAGCGCTGTTCCCTTCTGTCTGTCAYGACTCTTTTGGGATGTTAGTTTAGTGGAGCGCGTAGAGTTGTTGGACCGAGAAGGGAGATTTGTTGAGACTTGTTACTGCTTCCGTCGAATACTTTTCCGTGGGGGATATGTGTTAACTAAGATGGTGAAGACTGGATACGATTGCCTTGAGGCTACGACTGCATGTGTTGGAACGAGGCCGAGGTTGGGGATCAGTTGAGGGTGGTCAGACATTAGGTAAAGATCTCCTTCTTGTTAGTACCAGTCAGTGAAAAGTAGAGTGCTTCCCTCGACTTTTGCGATTCTGTTCTCCAAAAGCCATGTTTTTTTGAAAATTCTCAGACTCAGTTCTTTTTTGTCCGGTGTTATTAACCTTTGTTGATCTTTTTGCTCTTGGGTCCAGCGTGCTCTTACTTCCGTTTGTATTATGTTTTTTATTTCCGCCCATTTCTCCTCTAGAGATGTCGTTTGTCCCTCTAGAGTGCCCTTGCACCTTGCTTTCCATATTGCCCAGAGTGTTGCTCTCCTCCATAGGTCTGCCATCAGTAGTGTAGATTCCTCTAGTGCTTCTGTTTCTCGTCCTCCCGTTAGCAATATACAGAGTTGTTAGGGAGGTTTTGGTTTGTTAGCCTTTGCCAGCTGTTTTTGGTTTTGTTCCACACTTCCTGAGCCTGTTGACATGTTATTAGGCAATGTACCAGGGATTCTTCTGCTTGGTCGTTACAAACTTTGCACGTGGACGTTTGTTGTTGGGAATCTTGCTGTTTTCTCCTTTTGGCCAACCATTGGTTGACTGGCACCGCCCAATACAGAATAAGCCACTGTAGGTTTCTGATCCTTACCGGTCTTATATTTGTATACTGGTTCCAAGGAATTTTATTCGCCCAACCTGCGTTTTCTCCCAAGTTTCTTTTCCACCTTTCTGAGATTACTGGGAGGGGGTCCCTTGTGTGATTGCCCAGTTTGTAGCCTATTTTGACTTCATAATCATATATAGGGGTGAGCTTCTTGGCTTTCCCTGAAACGCTAGGTACCATCCATCCCCATTCCGCTGGGTCTACTTCTAGATCTTTGATGTCTAGGTCTGGACTGTACAGCCTGGTTCCGTTTATGTCTTGTTGCCTTGCAGGGTTTGGGTTTCTGTATTTTTTGAGTGAACATGCGCATACTCTTATGAGGGTATTGAGGTTTTCTGTTGTCCCTGGTTCTATTATTCTGCCTAATGCTACCCAAGATTTATGTGTTTCTTCTAGTTCGTAAGCCATGAAATCCACTTTTCCTTCCTGCCCATCTTTTATTTGGAGCAATTTGTACGCTCTGGTTGGGGGGTTTTCTTCCGAATCAATTTTTGTGGCCCAGTCCCCTACCGCCCAATTTTTTTTGCTTTTCAGGAGGAGAACCCATTTTAATGGTACACTTTCTAGAATTCTTGCTAACTGTTCCTTCAGATTGTGGATTCCTTTGAGTTTAGTTCTGAGGTCTTGTTCTGTCAACCATCTGTTTTGCTCTGAGTTCCAAATGTGCTCTATTTTCCACACTCCCTTGCTCATCCACTTCCTCCAATGTTTGCCTTTTGTGTTCAGGGGCCATGGTTTATGGTTTTGGTCCGTAAGCAAGGGGTTTCCAAACAGCGGCTGCCTTAGGACTGCTTCTCTTGTTCTTGGTGTTCTTATTTTTTGCGGGAGGCATGTTCTCCAGTGTTTTATTAATGTGGCCCAGTGCTCGCTTGTGGGGTCCTTTTCTTTTGCCTGTCCTCCCCCTTCTCTTCTTCCTGAGTTCCAGGAGGGATTGAGGAGCCAATGGTACCCTTCGATGGTTGGGTCTACTTTGAAAGGAACCAAGTTTCGGATCTGGTGCAGGGCCATCTCGTGCCATGGCAATTCTCTGTTGAAGAGGAGTTTTATTATCCATTTGTGTTGCAGTGCTTGAAATTGTATCGTGGGGTTTAATATGCCCAGTCCCCCTTGATGCTTGGGCCTGGTAATGTATTTCCATGCTACCTTAGAGATGTAATGTTCATTTTC